ATATATATATAAACAATAGGTCTGATGGAGATTTATTTTTCTTTTTCTCTCCAGCAGACACAGTTGATGACGCCACAGAGGCCACCATGTCATCCGAGGCTCTTCCTCTCATCTTTGAGCCTATTGAAGACGTCACGGCGAAGGGACAGGCGKCGGAGGCCATTGCCCGGGTACCGGTCGGCGCGCAGTCTCCCGTTACCACGGCAACCAGACGTCTGGGCCAGCTGGTCGCCGTGGAGGACGAYGGCGACGGTCCCTCCCGAGGCCCGTCTGCCCTTTTACCGGACTGGACTTCGCCCTGGCAGACGTCAGGCTCCGAGCTCCTGGAGCCGATGGGCTCCTCGGGTCCACCTGCTTCACAGCGAAGGGTCCAAACAGAACCGGGGAAAGGTGAGGTGCGGGGAACCGGTCTGAGTGATCATCATGGTCTCATAACCTAATGTTAAAAAAAGTGTCTTTATAGAGGTTATAATATTAAAGGTAAAATCAATTTAATTATCAGTGACGGAGCTATAAGTTTTGTTTTATAATYATTTAAAGTAGTTTAACAAAAACTGAGCCCATCTGATATCAGAAGAAGTGTCTTTACTCAGTCAAATCTTCCACACAGCTGCTGCGAGGACATCAAACTTCGAAGAGAACGTGCCCTCGGCTGGCCCCTCCCTCTCATCCCTACAGCACGCCATGACAACAGTAACCTTGGCAACCCATCAGCTCCTGCACAAATCTAGATTAGGGCTGGAGGAGATGGATTCTGACGGTAGGTTTTTACTTTTCCTAAATGACGAATCTTTCAAGCAAGAAAAAACAAAGATTTGCCCCTAAAACAGCAGCCTTGCTCTCCACAGAGGAGCCAGATGAGGAAGAGGATGATGAGAACTCTGAGGAGTCGGTGGAAGAAGAGAGTGAGGAAGAGCTGACAGAAACACCCAAAGCGTCCGCCACGCAGCCGCCGTACAGCCTCATCCCTCCGCCGCCAGTCTGGGTACAACGCAACCAGGGACTGAGTAAGAGCACGCAGARGACGAGCTTAAACAGCCGTCCTGAGGCGTCGGTTTAATTCACGCCTCTTTTTCTCTTCCAGTGCGGAGCTGGCTGGAGCTGATCAGAGAAAAGGTAAGACTGCCCTCTGTTGTTCGGACGTTTCATGACACTAAAGTCCTGAAAGGTTGTGTGAAATTAAAAATGTGCTTTACTCAACCTCGGCAGGCTGGTTACGTGTCTGGGATGTTGGCTCCCGTGGGCATCGGCATCACGGGGGCCCTGCTGATCGTGGGCGCCCTCTACAGCATCCGAATGATCCACCGCAAACGGAGGAACAGTTTTAAACGCCAGCGGAGGAAGGCAAGACAGCCGGAGGTCAGAACTGTCAATACTTTTTAAATAAATACAGTATTTCCCACCCTCACACTGTGGATCTTAAATCACAAACTTAAAATTTGTCTTTCCCTTTTTTTTTTGACAGCAACCTCGAGAGCCTGGCACCAGCTGTCAGGATCAGACCATGCTGCTGGCCGACAGCTCCGAGGACGAGTTCTGAGGTCAGGTTTTGTCGGCCGACCTCGGCGGAGGAATGTTTGGCAAAGAAAAATAAAAACAAAACATTTCCATGACCGCAGCTCATCGTACTCACAGAATCTGTCTGAGCTTTATGACRCCCTCATTTTGCACGAGGACACAAAAACAAAATGTTAAGTGAAGTGACATGGTTAAGGGAGGGGGCGGAGTCAAATCAACAGCTATCCCCCTTTTTCTACAGTGGCAGAGTTCTCTCCGGCCACAGAGTTTAAGACCAGAGGCTTCAGATAAGTGAGGTGTGTGGCTGACWGAGTGAAACAAAGGCCTCCTCATAGCTTAGCTCAGGGAGATGAGTTTCCTGCAGGGTGTTCTGCCTTCACACGTCAGCACCAGAACAAACTGAGACCAGGTTCTCTGATTCAACTCTACAGCTATGACGACGATGAAAACGTCGAGGCAACCTGCAGAAAAACAAATTGATCTTTGTGTGCCATGAACTGTAAAACTAAAATATACAGCCCTATTTCACAAGACAGTATTTTTAATATGGCCTTGTAAGTATTTATCTCAAAGCACATTTTTCTTATTAGTTTCGATTTATAATCACAAAAACAATAAATGTTCACACAACACTTTCCTTTAAGTTTCCTTTGAACACTGATACTTAAAGGGATCCATGATTAGTTGTAACATTAGACTTTATTTGATAAACATATAACTGTAAAATAAAGGCTAAAAATACTGTAGGCTGTTTAGTTTTTATCATTTTAACTAAAAGTTTAGAAACATATTACAAGGACGGGGCTATTTTATTTACACACAAAGCATTCTGGGTAAATATTGACGTGGCTAGGTCATTGGTGCGAGGCTGCTAGTGAGCTATATCCACCCTGAAGGTTAATCTTGGACAATATCTGACGATATGAAACCAGAGAGCGTTGACTGAGAGGAGAAGGTAGAAATGACTCAGCCTGCAACTGAAAATATGGATGGAGGACAACAGTACGGAACCCGCGGGGGGTCAGTG